TTTTTTTTTTTTTTTTTTTTTTTTTTTTTTTGCCACTTTTGGAAAGTTTTTTTGGTTTGGAAAATCTTTATTTTTATTTATGAAAAATTACGGCTTACAGCGTATCAAGAGAAATAGAAATTATAGACAGTTATCAGTTACAAAAGTTCCGTATGAAGTTATTTCTGGCGAAAAATAGCAGTTAAAAATAGCTTACAAAATGTACAGCGTTTAATTTACATTTGCGATCTGCCGCTAGTCACGCTGTATCTTTTACTGACTTTTTTTTTCAAAGTTCTCATGAAATACTATCGGTTTTGTTGAAAAAGTTTTGCTTTCTTTTCAGTGGATTGTACTGCCAAGTAATAACTTCGTTTTTAGGTGACTTTATTTCTAGCACTAATAATGAAGCTAATTATTGAAGAAAATAGCGACAAAGTAGCTGAATTTGCAGCACTCTATGTTAGAAACAAAATAGTTGAATTCAATCCAGGCCCAGAAAAATATTTCATTCTTGGCCTCCCAACCGGTATGATCTTTTCACTTTGACGCCTACTAGCAGTATTATTTTTTGCACTCTTCTGCCTTTCATTAAGAAACCGAAGACACCTTTAATACTGTCACTGTTTTCGCACATTTCAGGAGGTACACCTCTTGGTATGTATAAAAAATTAATTGAAATTTACAAGCAGGGGAAAGTGTCTTTCAAATACGTCAAAACGTTCAATATGGATGAGTATGTTGGTAAGCACAGAAGATGGCTACAGTATATGAAAACTGAAAAATTCGTTATTTTTCCAAGGTTAATCCATTTTCTATTTATTTTAAACTTCTTAATAGCTCAGTTATGCAGGCTTACCGCGCGATCACCCTGAGAGTTACCACTCATTCATGTTTAACAACTTTTTTCGTCATATTGACATTGAGCCAAGTAATGTCCATATACTGGATGGAAATGCAAAGGACCTCAAATTCGAATGCGATGAATTCGAAAGGAAAATAAAAGAAGCGGGAGGCATCGATTTATTTGTCGGAGGTGCTAATTATTCAAAACATAAAATTTTTGCTCATTTACCCGAATTTTAAGTTTTGAAATGGTTTTTATTATCCTTTCTTTCGCAGTACGGGCAACCTCAACAACAAAGTTATTGCTTAAATGTTTCTGATTAGTCTCCAAATAAGGACTAAAACTGTTTGAGATAAGGTGGGTTAATCAAAATTTCAAACACTCCTCAATAATTTTGAGTTCTTTCATGTGATCCTTTTCTTGCTAACCTTACTTCTATGACGACATTTTCGAACCAGTTTTAAAAGTTAAATATTACTTGTAAAAATTCCTTCAGGTGAACTGAAACGGCCAACTTTTTCAGGAATAGGACCTGATGGCCATATTGCATTCAACGAACCTGGAAGTAGTCTTACGTCAAGAACGAGAATCAAGACGTTAGCTCAGGAGACTATTCAGGTAATGACATGGACAAGTCATTTTTTAATTAGGTCTCAAATTTATTGATGCACCAGTTGTACTGCATGTTAGTGACAATTATTTCTCGATGACAATTCTTTTACTGAATAACCGCGTGTTAGACTCGGTTGATTTCAAAAAAAATTTTCTAGCATTTACTGCTACTTTTTAAGGCTAATGCTCGATTCTTTTCCAATGATGTAAAACAAGTGCCCACTCAGGCTCTAACTGTTGGAGTTGGGACTGTTATGGATGCACGTGAGGTGACTACTTTTCTTTTGAAAACTCAATGCGTTTTGTAAAAGAAAATTTGATTTGTGCATTTCTGTTTAGCAAGGTTTATCAATTTCTAGGTAATGATTCTAATTACTGGTGCGCATAAAGCATTTGCCCTTTACAAAGCTATAGAAGAAGGAGTTTCTCATATGTGGACCGTTTCTGCATTTCAAATGCACCCACGTGTTATATTCTTGGCTGATGAAGATGCAACATTAGAACTAAAGGTTAAAACTGTTAAATACTTCAAAGGTCTTATGGGACATCATCAAAAACTAATCCAGGATCCCATTTTGTAAAACAGTTCTTGTTTATTGCTCAACCTCGATGCTATGAAGTTTTGTGTAAATACAGCCTCACTACCAATTTCTATGACTATAAATAAAAAATTGCACTTTCTCAATGATGCTCCTGTGATCAACAGAAACCTTAATTTTAAATGAATTGGCACATTATAACAATTTATTTTTTTAACTTTCAAGCTTCTTTGGCCTACTTTTATCGGCCGAAAAAGATGTTAGAAAGGAGTAGACATTTAGTTGAATGTTGTTGTTTTAAAGTAAAATTTGTTTAATTATTTTCTTATAAAGTACCCAAGTTGCCCTTCATCATTTATTGAAAACCCTTCTGATGTAAAATGCCCACCTGTCCGAAAACTTATAAAGTGTTAAAATTTTTAACTCTCTGTGTCTCATCTTACCCAAAATGAGGCTGCTATCTGTTCACTTATAATTATTTTCGAGAAAACTCATTGAGGCTGGACTCTACTTTCTTTTTTTACAACTGCCTGTGTACTAAGAGTATAAATGCAAGTTTTACCAGCTTTTTCCTAAACTGGTATATTACATTTTCAAGAAAATGGGTGGTAGACTTTTGAGAAATTGGTCTGAAATAGCAAAATCTTTGAAGCGGTTGTTCAGTAGTGACTGCTGTCAGTTTCTGCAGCGAGCTATTCTGCAGAATTTAAAGTTTACTTGAGAATTAAAAAATAATGTTAAAGTGCTAAGGACAGATCCTACGCAGGAGTAGAAATGATACAATTATAGCATCATGTACCTTACTGATTTTCTGTTTCGGTCCCAACTTCTACAATAATAGGGATAGCAGAAGTCAGCTAAGGGACGCACGCAGCAAGAGTTGGCAATAAGCAGTGGCTACACATAAGCAGCTGTCACTGATCGGGATGGAGACTGTTGCAAAAATCAGCAAAGCGATAGCAGTGTGGAAGTTTTATAATACATTTCAGATCCTGTCTCCCACTCTTGCTTGTCAAACTCATGCACAACCACCCTCGGCTTAAGCAAAATTTGCGGAACAAGTTTGTAAATTTGCCTTAAAACTTTGTTTCCCACCACGATACGCTCTGCCTTTTTCAAAAACATTTTCTACATGGTTACGCAATGAGCACTTTTATAGCAGTATTGCGCCCTGGCGGGTAAACAGGAGAGCATTGTGAAGCATCTTCCAATCTAGCGTAAACTGTCAACAAACCAGACTCATCGACTTAAAACTTTCCACTTTGTTATGACTCAATGTTTTTTGCCTGAACTAGTAACAACATTACCCAAATTTCGTTCGCTTCAAAAATATTTGCAACTGGATCCGTCCTACTTCAAAACGTCTAAGTTGTGTTTCGTGGTTCAGCTTCTTCAGGGGAACGACTAAAATTTTTGATGCTCTAAACAAAATTCAGAAGTCACTAAGATACTCAGCATCAAAAAGAAAAAATCCACGATCTCCCTACCTTTAACACAACTGCTGCCGAAGACAGCCCTAAAAGTTTAAGATATTCTTGAAAAAAATCGCGTTTAGACCACTGTTTTCCATTAGTCAGCCATTACGGTCCATTTTTTTTTTCTGTTAAGCAGTTTAGATCCAACTGCCATCATCGCTCTAGAATTAACTTCATCTCCAATAAAAATTATGCGTAAGCTTTCCCGATGTCCACTGGCGGAATCTCCAACGTAGTGATTTGAATATCTACCGTGACAAGATCAGTGGAACTCTACAGAAGGCCTCTTTAGAGCTGAACTTGTTGCTACAAGCCGGACGCTGAAGGAATCTATCTCTTATCTTACTTCTTTTTACTACATTTGTTGTTCTAAAACTGTGAAAATCTTTCTTGAACTCGAGTGCTGAGTAAGTGTAATTTTTGTTGCCGTCATAAAACAAACGAAGCGCAATTTTTGTTGATTTGAAGTAAATATCTTTGCCTTTACTAATACCTTTACCTTCACTGTGATACTTAACTCACATTTTTTTTTAAAGCTGACGTACTTTTTAGAAAAAATATAACAAAAGGAGAACGGGAGGAGGAAGGGTAGAAAAATAAAAAAAATAATGAATTTAAAAGAACTGAAAAACAAACCAAAAAAAAAAAAAAAATGAAATAGCAAATTAAAAAAAAGAGCCAGTCAGACGAAGGCACAACAGATACATTTGAAGACAAACAGGCATTGTCTAGTTTTCCTTAGCACCAAAGATCCTGCCGATCTATTCCGCAGACATTCAACGGTCCGCTTGCCTAGCTTCCTCCCTCTCCTTCCTGAAAAAAAAAAAAAATTAGATGCTCTCTTACGAAGCAATTGTTTTATTAGTGAGCCGAATCGAGAATCATCTCAAACGTGAGTAACTAAACCACAAAATAAGCATCCAAAAAAAAAAAGACGGAACAGTCGCCTTTAAAAATACCTATGCCAAAACACAGCTTTCAAGTCCTTAATTTAAAAAATGGCGAGCTCGTTGAGAACCTTAAACTTCAATACAGAGCAGATTAAAGAGTCTAAATAAATTTTGGAAAGTTTGGTGCCATCAGTAACTTTGAAGGTTACCAGAAAGAACCTACAAGCAGCACCATTTGAGCACAACAGTATGATAAAAAACCAAAATTAGAGGATATCGTCAAGTTACATAGCGAAAAAGGACATTAGGGTGCCAAAAACAGAAAACTGTACAACTCAAAGTTGGCAAGATAAAATTTAAGCATGCAGCGGCAGAGTTGAAATAAAGGATTCTATAAGTCGATAAATCACAGCCGAAAAAGCAAGTGAAAGCAGAAAGACAAGTTTTTGGAAAGAGATTAAAGATTTAACTTTGTATTCACAGTAATTAAGCAGTAACAGGAGTGCAAAACAGGAACAAACGTAGAATTTCGTCGTTTTTTGAGACCACTGTCCTTAGCCCCTCCAAAAAAGGCCTAAATACAGTCACATAGCCATTGGAGCCAGTGACAAAGAAATCCAGCAAGC